CCTGGGGAAAATGGGCTCTTACCAGCACAGATGTGTATGATAATTATACCAGTAAGCCAAAACAATCATTAAAATGTGAAGAATAAACTTCTGGTAATAAGAATACAAGACACTGGCACAAAACAATATTTTTGAAAAAAAAAATCCCTTTAAACATATCTAATGGAAAATGAGAATGCATTATTATCTTTTTTTTTTTTTTTTTTTGCATTTTGGGGATCAAGAAACTGAAACTTGGATTAAGTAATTTATCCAAGATCTTTACCAGAAAATGGCAGAGCTGTGACCTGGATCCCTGTCTCTGGAGCTTCAAAACTCACAATCTTTTTTTTTTTTTTTTTTTTTTTTTAAGATTTTATTTATTTGACAGAGACAGAGAGAGAAAGACCACAAGTAGGCAGAGAGGCAGGCAGAGAGAGAGTGGGGGAAGCAGGCTCCCTGCCGAACAGAGAGCCTGATGTGGGGCTCGATCCCAGGACTCCGAGATCATGACCTGAGCTGAAGGCAGAGGCTTAACCTACTGAGCCACCCAGGCGCCCCAAAACTCACAATCTTAATCCATGTATCTACTACCCTTTTAATGAAGTCAGAAAAAAAGACAGAAAAGTTCATATAATAACAAAAAAACTTGAATGTAGTTTTGGGGGCAGTGGGGAAAAACGGGGTGGGAGAGGGGTGGAAAAATGTAGTCAAGAGGTACAAACTTCCAGTAACAAGATAAGTAAGTACTGGAGAAAGAAAGCACAGCGTGATGACTATATTTAACACTGCTGTATGAAATACATAAAAGTTGTTAAGGGAGCAAGTCCTAAGAGTTGTCATCATAAGGAAAATTACTCATTTTTCTTTTTTTGTTTCTCTTTTCATTGTGTCTATATGAGATAATGGCCGGCAACTAAAGTTATGATAATTATTTCACAATATCTGTAAGTGCAACCATTATGCTATACACCTTAAGCTTCCAGTGATGCATGCCAGTTATATCTCAATACCACTGGGGAAAATTTCAGTTAAAAAACTTTCTAATACAAGGAGAGGCTGGGTCTATGAATAAACTAGAATAAGAATTGATACATTTATTTTGTTTGTTTGTTTCTTTTCTCTTTCAAAAAAGGGTTTTTCCTCAACATACATGTTCTAACACTATTTAGCTCTTGATACCAACCCAACCACAGATCATAATCCTCCTTTGATTGAAGAATATTCATTCAGTCTTTCATTAAGTGTAATGCACCATCTTCCATGTTGATTTTTCATATGTTAATCAAAATATGTAAGGAAATAGATATCTATTTATTTTGGGCGAGCTTCATATTCATAGATGAGTGAAAGGACATTCTAACTATTCTCTACCAACAAAACGCATTTTTACACATTATATCTTTTAAAGTAAGTAACCATCTTCCTTCTATGAAGACTTCCTAGTGGTTCAGAAAAAACTGATATAAGCTCAGAGTTATTAAAAGTATAATTTTCAGGGGCACCTGGGTGGCTCAGTGGGTGAAGCCTCTGCCTTCGGCTTGGGACGTGATCTCAGGGTCCTGGAATCGAGCCCCACGTAGGGCTCTCTGCTCAGTAGGGAGCCTGCTTCCCCCTCTCTCTCTGTCTGTCTCTCTGCCTACTTGTGAGCTCTCTTTTTCAGTCAAATAAATTAATAAAATATTTTTTAAAAAGCATAATTTTCAAAAAAACTGAAATACGTGAATCTCATGGAAATACATAGTAGGCATATGTCAAAGGTTTGACTTTTTAATGAGGGATCTAGTAGAATTGCAAAGCTGGTCCAGAGGTGGATAGGACAGACTGCTATATATAGTTAGTGAACTAAAGAGAGAATGCTGAAATAAAAATAGGTTGAGTATAAAATTGGTTGATATCATATAGGGCAATAAAACCGTAACCTTTTGTGTTATCTTTCTACCAGACAAAATCATTTGTATTGCTTTCTGAACAAAAATAATTTGCGACTTTACCTTTTAAAAAAAATATTTTAACATTTATCTTCATAGAATTTGGGCCTAATCAATAATAAATAGCACGTTAAAAAATGCATTATTCTAGAGGACTGGATAATCTTTGGGAGGAACTATTAGACAATGCTTCGCTTTATCACTGAAAAGGCATGCACTCATCAGTTTGTCTTATTTTCAAGTTAAGATAATTTTTCGTATTATTCTCTACCCTGTAAAAAAATAATACTTTGTCTAATACTATGTTTCTACACTTTGTATGCAATATTTTACTTAGTTCTCATGAATATCAATAAGCATAAGACTTTTTAGGAAACTGATTATTTGCTTGGATTATTTGCTTTTTTTTTTTTTTTAAAGATTTTATTTATTTATTTGACACACAGAGAGAAAGCACCTGCAGAGGAAGCAGCAGGTAGAGGGAGAGGGAGAACCAGGCTCTCTGCAAAGCAGGGAGCCAATGCCGGGCTGGATCCCAGGACTCTGGGGCAGATTCTTAACCATCTGAGCCAGATGGTTAATCTGAGCCATTTTCCAGGTGCCCCTGGAAAACGTTCTTATGAGAATAAACTTAAAGGAGTTTGAATATTTTGAAGATTGTTGAGATACAGAGCCAAATTCAATTCTACAAAGGATATGGCTATCTGCACTATTCATATAGAGAAGTCTACTCTTATAGATAGAGTTGGGCATCATATTTTAAAAATCATGCAATCTGGTAGATGCAAAATTAAAAAACTTCATTTCAATTTACCTATATATATCTGGTTACTTATAGAGTTGATATTTTAAAACATGGTTTTATTATTTTCTTTTAAAATTATTATTTGCTTATTTTTCTATTTAGGTATCAGTGCCAATGTTTTCTATTACTTTCAGCTTTTAATATCTAAGGGACATTAACCCTTTGTGTTTTATTCTTATACATCAAAGAGCTTGTCATAAATAGTATTAATAGAATATTTTATGTGAGGAATAATAACATCCTAAATGAGATTCATCTGTACTAACTTGAAACTCAACGTAAGATTATGCTAATAAAGATGTAATGTTTCCTCTTGTTCCATTAAAACTCTCTTAATGAAAAATGTTTTATGTGAAAACCATATATACAAGTAATGTTAATAAGGGTGGGGAATCGAAACTCGAGGAAACACAGGGATATTTGTAAATCCAAAATTCTTTGTAAATTGACTACAAAGAGTATATTAATAAGTAGAGTATAGCTTTAGGGGATTATATTTTGAAAAATTTAGAATAACTGGGCAATCTTCCGTAATAGTTTATATCATTGTTTTTGTGATGTGTTTGTAACATAAAATAAAAACTGAAACCAAAGTATACCCAACATTATTTATATTAAATAATGTGTGTATGTATGTATTAATATATATGTATAAACCAAAATATATCATCACTGCTTTTGGTATTTCAAAGGTTTTCTCTGGTAACACTACTATAGATCCATTTAAAAGATGGGTATACTTTCTTAAAATTATCCATTCTTCCAATAACTGAAAAAAACGGTCATTGAATTGACCTACAATAACCATTGAAGGCACTGGTTATTGTAATATTTTTTAATTTATAACAACTTAGAATTTATATGTAACATTTATGAACAATTACAAACAATACATAACAGATTTAAAGTAAAATAATGTCACATAAAATACATATATGTTTATATACATATAGAAATACACATGTATACCGTATGGAGATCAAGGGAGCAATTATAGTAAATATTGGAAAAACATGATTTTTGGAGTTCTGTAGAACCTTGCCTAAAGTGATGCATATAAGAGTTCTAGAAACCCTTAAGGTCACTTTTTTTGTTTGCTGTTGTTGCGGGTGAGGTGAACTCAAAGAAATTGTGTGCCATTCAGGTTCTCTGCCAAGATCCAGATATCCACTAGCTTGAAGGGTGAGTCAGAATGAACCCATAGTCCTTCGATTTCCTTTCCCTCGCTCCCTCCTCTAGCTGCGGAAGCCAAAGATTGGAAGCTTGGCTTTGCCCGGCGGGGTGGGAAAGAGGGGAAGGTGAAGAGGCGGGGAAAGAACAGGAGGGAACCGAGTTGGTTTGGGGGCCGAAAGCCCCCCCAAAAAAACGCACTGGGAAAATTCTCCGGGCCTTGGTCCTGGACTGCGCTTTCTCCTGGCGTGGCGGGCGCGGGAGGGCTGGGGGGCTACTGGGCCTGGCCCCTTGCACCGACGTCCGCTCGCCCAGCTCTGCCCCAGTTACGCGGGTCATGGGTTCGAGCTCGCGTGGGACTCTGTGATGCCCGCCCTCATCCCTCCAGCTGCGCTGCACACTTCGAGTTCCATGAAGTCCTCCGGGCGCGTCCTCTCTCACTTACTCGTTGAGAGGCAGGAGCCAACAGTTGGTTCTTCCTTCAAACTCGGAGGGCCCCAAAGGCTCACTAAACGCCAAAGACCCGGCAGGAGGCTGTATAAACGCCTCCAAATCCCGGCTGGTTCTTTACTGTCCATGCTGTCATCGGTCCCCTCTGGAGCCCTTTGGTCCTTCAGCTCCTCCAACTTTTGGAGCAGTGGAGCTGGGGGATAATTTAGGCTCCAATTTCCAAGTGACCTCTGAGTCCACCTTGATTCAGTCTTCGGCTTGGCTCCTCCTCAATGTATTTTACAGCCCTGACGCGCCCCCCACCCCGCCCCGCTCCGGTACCCCCCCAGCGGGGGATTTTTGTGTCGAACCCGTAGACGAAAAGTTTTTGGCCCTCACTCTCGCTAGCCACGATCAGATTACTTTTCACAGACTGGAGCTGGTTGGGAGGTAGGGGTATTTTTACTTTTAATCCTTTTGTGTGTTTAGTTCACCTTGTGTGATTGGGTGTGGAGAGCGGGGGAGGGGGGGTTTCCAAACGGAGTGAAATTCCCATTCCTTGGGTATTACCATACCCCTGGGGTTGGGAGTTCTTAAAGTTTTAGCAAGTCTGCAAATAACTACAGAACACAATAGAGTCCCCCTCCCTTCCTCTCTCTCGCGCTCTCTCTCTCTCTTTTTTTTTTTTTTTTTTTTTTTCTTTTCCTGCTTCCAAACGCCTTCTTCGAGTCTGAAGCTGGGCAGGTCTCCAAAGGTGCAGCAGCCACAACAATCCAGCAGTTCAAAGTTAGGCAGCAGTTGCACAACTTCTAGCAACTCTCTTAGCCGGCTGCTAATGAGCTGAAAGCCAGGGACATTTGAGGAGGTGAAGAGGAAACTTTCAATCCTCTTCCCTTCACGGAGAAATCTGGATACCCACCCCTCCACCCCCATCTCCAGATAACTTTGAGATAAGACCCTTTCTCTTTGGGGGCCTGGTGGACCATGGCTCCCTTTGGAAGGAACTTGCTAAAGACTCGGCATAAAAACAGGTAAAGTGCAGCGTGTGTGTGTGTGTTTGTGTGTGTGTGTGTGTGTGTGTGTGTGTGGCGGGGTTGGGGGGTGGGGGGGCTTCTGTGTGAAAGTAGGTGTTTTGTTGCAATTAGATTCTGATGAAAATTGCTAGGAGTGGGAAAAGCCCTAGGGAATGAAGTTCTGTATTTATATTCAGCTGGCCAGGCTATTATTCAACCTCAAGGATCATTTATATATATATATATATTATATATATATATAATATATATATATCCATCTCATATATATGTATTATTTTGATTCTGTTTCCCCCTTTAGCCAGTCCTGGTTCCACAGCTACCATCACCAAAATTTCTTTGTGTTGCTTTGCGTATTTGAGTGTAGTAGGAAGGCAAGTTTCATTTTGGTCCAGATGGAATTTTAGCATATCATAGGAAGCGTTAAAATTTTGATGAAGATATAACTAGAATTTATTAGCCACTAATTAGAACGAAAAACACAGCTGCTGATACAATCCAGAAACAATGCTTTGGCTCCCCTTAGAGTAGGGGCATTCCTGAAACCTGGAAAGTTTCCGAAAGTGAAAATACTCTTTAGAGAAACTTTTTGTGAACTGATTGTTTCAAATATCTTTGAGAGCTTTAGGTGGTTTTAGGGTTTTAGGCACCAAAAGAGGATTCAATCAGCTCTCCTCCTTAATCCGTATTGCTACAATTTTATTTCGTTTTGATTTTTTTTTGCTATTCCAAGCCTGCAGTGCCCTTGTGTAAATGTGTGAATAAATGTTTTTCTCTTTCTCTCTCCCTCTCTCTATTACTGTCTCTCTCTCTCTCTCTTTCTCACATGAAGATTTTTCTTGAGCCAGTATGTGTGTTTCAGTCTTACTAAATAATTTATTAACACCCCGAATGTTACATTTATATGCTAAAACAATGTGAGGATAATTTTAGACATGGGCTTTACTGTTAGTATATTTATTTTGAAATAAGGGCTTTTCCATAACTCTTCTCTCCATCATGCTTGTTAGTACTTGTCATAATTTACTCGGGGTAAATTTAAAAGCATACAATTACATGGTAGGAAATGACACAATTATTTTAAAGTGTCTGCTTGATAATTTATGATGATATAATTTTAAAGTAAATCTTCACATTTTGTGCTTACATGTCTACTTGAAAAATTCTGGTTTTAATTTGTTCTAAATGTATTCATGATTGAGTTCATTAAGTTTGCTTAAGAAAGGAAAACAACAATAATCAGTACTATGAAACTTTCTAAACCAGTTTTATTTGCTAATAATTTGGTAATATACCACATATATGACATTTCTGGCAGTTAGTGAAACTATATGTTAAAATAAAGAAATATATGTCTGGATATTCTTTTTAAAAAGTTAGTGATGGTTACTAAAAATAGGCTTGTAATTTAGTGGTATCAATGCATTAAAAAATAATTCCAAAAGCCTTCCCCTGCCAATAGAAAAGCCTTACTACTTTTTAAATGATTACACAGTAGCATTATTTCTCAAGTATGTTTGTAAGAATGCCATCAAAATATATAAAAATTAGTTGGGGAAAGTTCATGGTCTTGCTGATCCTTCTAAATACAACCTTATAGTTCAGGATTGTTTTGTGTATGTGTGTTCTTGTTTTTTATTTTGATTATTATTAATTCTAGAATTCTTTCATTTGTGTGCCAAATAAACAGTTCAGTATAAATAACTGTGTGTGCATCCCTGTGAGTTTTCCTCACGGAAGTACATGTCCACTTACGTTATCTCAATTCTGCCACTGTTCCATCTACCCATAAAAGTGGCTTTCATTCAGGGCGGTGAGGATACAGTTTTAATATAACATTTTCTATGCAAAATTATGAAAAAATGGAAAGAAATAACAAAAAAATGAGGAGTTTAAAAGTATTTCAAGTTCTTCTGAGAAAACAGAATGGTGTTCCCAATGGTGATGCTTTATTAAGAATGTGTTTTGATGGAAGTGGTAATAGTGAGGATATATGTAAGTTGCTCTAATAATTGAGTGCTTCCCTTTATAAATTTGTATTTTCCCATTCTTAAGAATTTGTAAGCCACAGCAGTGGTCAGAAAGATAATAATATGAGTGTCTTAAACTAAGCAGTCCATAAGCCACGTGTTATTTTGAAATAGAATTAACGTGTATTTGTTTTTCAGTGTCCAGTAATTACCATAGATGAGGTTTTTTTGTTTTGTTCTGCTTTGTTTTTGTACCTTCTCAAAGGTGAAACTACACATGAAACTTAGAGACATGATTAAGTCTATCCATTTTGTTTATCTGGTTCCATAATGATTTAAATAATCTTACTTGGGCATACTGAAACTAAGTATCTTTCCTAAAATGACAAGTGATTCATCCTTTGATAGTAAATGTGATTGATGATAAAACATTTATCTGATAACAGCTAAGGCATTCCTCAAATATATAAAATTCCTCGTAGAATGCAAATAAAGAATTTGAGCGATGCTTTTGTATATCTTGTGATATATAATTTATACAAGTAAAAGAGCTGCTTGAACATAATTGCATCTTTGTAAGCAGGAAAAAATATAGATTACTAGAAGGAATCTTAGGAATTTGAGATCATAAAATTTTGACAAAGTTTGTTTATTGAACTTTTCTGCATTTATTCTCTTTCTGTCTTTTCCAAGTATGAGGCATAAAATCTTTTAGAAAATACAAGTTGTAAAGCTTAGAGAGAGCAGTGTCATATCTGTCTAGTCACCATTGTGTTTTTATGCCTAGGACACTGCCTGGCATATTCTGGACCCATGATACAGTTATTTTCATAATTTGTAAATTAAATCATAAAAACATAGTTACTATTTTATTCTCTATTCATCTTCTGAGCTCGATTGGTATTGTATAGAAATGAATGCTTCATAAAGGATTGGTTGACATTTGATATAATCCAAAACTCAAGGAAATAGGCAAATAATTTTATGGAATTGTACACCAAGTTAATCCTACCCCACTACATGATCTTTTCTAAATTTTAAGAAGCATTTAAATTTAAAAAATGGCGCAATAGTCTTTGGGGAATTTGAGAATAATGCATGGTCACAAATGATGGTATTATGGCACACAAACTTTGTATGCTTTTCATTCCTAACTTTCATAGAAGTAAAAGAAATGGAACCAATATTAGATCCTTTATATTTGTAATCAGAATTAATCTTTTAATTGTAGTAACAATGCCACAAATGCTTCATCAGAAGGAAGAATTTAATTTTGCAGTTATGGTAAAAGTTGCTGGCAAGATGGATGTTTTCCCTGAAATTAGAAGTATGGTGATTTGTGAAATGGAAAATTATCATGTACTATTTTGTCTAACCTCAAATAAACACTTAAAATATTCCTGAAAACGGATTGAGAAATCCACAGTATTTGAGTACATACATCTTTTTAGTTCCCAGGAGTTCCTGAAAGAGATTTCCCCTGATGATACTTGGTAACTTAAGTAGTTATTAGTTGGCAGGAGATAGCCCATTAGGAACAATGACTGGAATGCTTTATCCTTGGCCAGAAAAATACCAAGAGCACTGAAGGCAGTGAAATTGAGCTCTAGGTTAAAAGTTGAATTGTTATTCAAATGACTAAAGTCAACTTAAAAATCCACTATATAAGAGGTTGTATTATGTACTCTATCAATTCATGAAACATGTCAAGGTGAAAGGTTCTTAAATGGACTTTTTGAAAAAAAAAAAAAAGTTTAAAAGTTTGTAGCTGGTTAACAATTTTATTTACAGAACATCTTTATTACCTGGACTGCATAACTTAGAAAGCTTTGAGGTTATTTGATTGGTGTATGGTTCCAGGAGATCTGATAATAGCTCTAAAAATTTACAAAAATGTGGCTCTCTTCTTTTAATTTTAGTTCTGAAAATAAAGTTGAGGAACTGATGTATTTACCTCTTCCAGAAGTATGTGGATACCAGTCCTTGATAGGGAATCTCTTTGACTCTAGCATATTGGCTTTCTAAAATGAGGCAATATGTTATCTGTACTATGTATATGTGAAAGAAACAAGTTCAACATGCGTCTGTGCTCTAATGTTCTTTAATGTCTGTTTGCTTAGGAGTTTTTTTTTTTTTTAATTTTATTTTTTATAAACATATAATATATTTTTATCCCCAGGGGTACAGGTCTGTGAATCGCCAGGTTTACACACTTCACAGCACTCACCATAGCACATACCCTCCCCAATGTCCGTAATCCCACCCCCCCCAACCCTCCTCCCCCCATCAACCCTCAGTTTGTTTTGTGAGATTAAGAGTCACTTATGGTTTGTCTCCCTCCCAATCCCATCTTGTTTCATTTACTCTTCTCCTACCCCCTTAACCCCCCATGTTGCATCTCCTCTCCCTCATATCAGGGAGATCATATGATAGTTGTCTTTCTCTGATTGACTTATTTCGCTAAGCATGATACCCTCTAGTTCCATCCACGTCGTCGCAAATGGCAAGATTTCATTTCTTTTGATGGCTGCATAGTATTCCATTGTGTATATATACCACATCTTCTTTATCCATTCGTCTGTTGATGGATATCTAGGTTCTTTCCATAGTTTGGCTATTGTAGACATTTGCTTAGGAGTTTTTAAAGACATCTTTTTGGCAAAACACATGCAACACATAAAACATTTCTTTTTTTTTTTTTTTAAGATTTTTAAAATTTATTTGACAGGGGTTGGGGAGAGAGAAAGAGTGCACATGAGCAGGGGCAGAGGGAGAGGGAGAAGCAGGCTCCCCGCTGAGCAAGGAGCCCTATTTGGAAATCCATCCCAGGACCCTGGGATCATGACTTGATCCCAGACACTTAATGACTGAGCCACCCAGGCATCCCTAATATTTCCTTTTAAACAAATAGATTTCATTCCTGTGTAACCTGTTATAATTCTACACCTTCTAGAGGAAGTTTGCATATTTGTTGATTATTATTTAAGAAAACTTACTAATGTAGATGGTCACCCAAGGGCAAAGTAATTA